CGTCTTCAGCTGAGAGAATGTGCAATGATTTTAAGACTTTACATAAAGTCTCAGAAATCTTTCATTAAGGTCTTTATGGTATATAGTTTGAATACCACACCAAATATATATTTTTTATTATTGTAAAATAACATATTCCACACTCCTTTTTTATTTTTTCCGGAAAAACCCCCCCAATTTTTCTGTTTTTTTTTTCCAGCCCTTCCCATCACTTTCCTCATTACACAAATACACATCGCCTGATATGCTGAAAACCAATAAGCCTTCAAGCTTATGCAGTTTGGATTTAGGACAATATGCATAACAATTGTGCATACTGTGTATCCATCTATCTACCGTGTTTCCCCGAAAGTAAGACCTACCCCGAAAGTAAGACCTAGCGCTATCTTCAGGGATTTCTGTAATATAAGACCTACCCGGAAAAAACAACCCAATTCAGTGGTAGCGCTAGCTTCAGGGATTTCTGTAATATAAGACCTACCCGGAAAATAAGACCTAGTTCGGTGGTAGGTCTTATATTACAGAAATCCCTGAAGATAGCGCTCGGTCTTATTTTCGGGGTAGCTGCACATAATAGAATTTTACATGTTAAGACCGGCTGCCTCGGCTGCCGCTGAAAACTACATTTCCCAGCAGGCACAGTGCGGCATGGACAGTGAGGTCGGGAACTTCTGACTGGTTTCTCCCAGGACGGCATCAGAGCGGAGAGCGGAGAGCAGACAGCTGCAGCCAGGTAAAAATAAGACATCCCCCGTAAATAAGACCTAGTGTCTTTTTTCATGAAAAAAAAAAATATAAGACAGTGTCTTATTTTCGGGGAAACACTGTATCTAGATAGATAGATAGATAGATAGATAGATAGATAGATAGACAGACAGACAGACAGATAGATATAGATAGATACACATACACACAATGCAATCAATGTAATTGTGCTGTAATTTTTTACACTGCAAAAAAAGTAATTTGGTAATCGGGAGGGGTTCTGTATTTGTCAATCTTAACATTGCACAGATGGCATTTACCCCCACATACGTGGGGGACGTATGAGTGACAACAAACAGACAATACTTATATGAGGCAGTACAAAAGTGCCAAAAGTATGACTGCAATCTATACAATCGAGACAAATTAATGCAAATAAAATAGAAAAAAAGAGTTTAACTTTGAAATAGCTATGTCACAATTATGAATATAACTGCAAAGTTAAGTCATTAGCATGAATGCCAATTATCAGAATATGGACAAAGCAGGACAGGAGCGCGACTACCAAAAGGACGTGGATAGGTATATGCAGTACAGATTGTAAATGGATCTTTGTGTGTGAAAAATTCCGTGATTAAGAGGGATTCCTCGAAACACGTAGCCACTGGAGACACCCGACCACCAGAGACCGCCACCACCTGAGACCTCCACCGCCCACACCGCAACCGATCCAGACCAACGACGCACGGCGTGCCCTAGCCGCTTGTAGCTCCTCCCCATTTTTCCGTCTTTGACCGACGCGGCTCGGCCCGGCCAGCCGAGTCCGTGGATGGCCATACGGATCCGCACCTCCAATTGATCAGCCTGTTACACCACCGGAGACACTCCTGCGATCCTGGACCTTCCAAAGGAGGGTGGCATATAGATCACGGGGGAGTCTCTAACTGTAAGTCCCTTTGTCCACTAGTAACAGTGTCACGGAATTTTTCACACACAAAGATTCATTTACAATCTGTACTGCATATACCTATCCACGTCCTTTTGGTAGTCGCGCTCCTGTCCTGCTTTGTCCATATCTGCAATTTTGAATAGACAGGGTCCTCTCCCTGTACCGAGGAGCTGCTGCACACCCTTACACAATAGTCACCGAATTGTAGTGTGCCCACAGGAGTGTGCTTTATCCTTTTTTGTTTTTTTCTGTAATTATCAGAATATGTCAGGCATAAAATTAATGTTTCAATTAGCACTTCCAGGTGTGGTCTTTATTTTGTTAAGGAGCATGAGGCAAACACTACTCCAAAGAGGCCAAATATTAATTCGCTAAACTTCAGGCACATATTTCACAAACATAAAAAATAATACATTTGTCAAGGGCAACATTAATCTAGGACAACATGCAGTATATCTAACATAAACAAACTGCATTGGCAAAGAGAATGAGTGGTCAAGTTAAAATGTATTTAAAAGAAAAACATGCGTTCTGAGTTTTGCATAGTGTGAGAGCGTTAAACCCACTTTTAATTTGTTTTTGCGGTTTGTGTTGCCATTAAGGAGATATATCACTCTTTTTTGTCTTGTGACTATTGTCACACAGGCTAAAAGAAATGGAGAATCCACAATTATAGAGCTGCATAAGAGCAAAAGTTAAGTGGAAATCTTGCAATGGGGACAACTCTTTCAGTGACAATTTAGATGAGAACTCCCCTAAATTTGGGGAGATTCCTCCTTTCATCCTGTTGGGCATCTAGGACAAGAAATTAAGGTAAATCTCCCCAGCAGGACACAGAAAGCAGAAATCATAAGCAGTATTAACCATTCTCTACCATGTCCGAAAATCAAACAAACTGAAGTATACGTACAGTATAGCAAAACATATTTTTCTAAGTTCATTGAGAGGATTAAGACAGACACTTAACAGGATACAAGCACTACAGAAGGTCAGGGTCTAAAACCTTGACAAAATAAAAACACCTTTGTGACCCCTTCTCAGCAAAAAGTGCACTGCCACAGTTGCATACCTGCTGTGTTACAGCACCACCACCTCCTCTATCTCCTCTAGCCACTTTGAGGATTTGTAAATAGTTTCCGTGGCCACTGCATTTCTGGTTCTCATTCTTGCTTCTGCAGGAGAGCTTGTACAATACATCTGGAAACATGTGCCTGCCACAACACTTCTGCTTGAGACCTTGGTGATGCAGGATGACCCTGTCTTCCCTCTGCGGACTTACCGAAACCTGGTCTACATAAAGATACTGTTGATGCATAGACACTTTGATACAAAGTGGCTCCAGGATTAGGGAGTTCATGCCATTCCTTTACATCTAAAACGCACTTTGGAGTAGAAAGAGAGCACACCCTCCCTTTCTCCCTTCTGATGTCTTTTTTCTTTCTTTATCCTCTGGATCTCCAACGCTGTTTGGAGGATATTCGTTTTTTTTTGTTTTTGTTTTTTTCCGTTCAGAATCCCCCGTTTATACAATTTTATATATTTATGTATTGTATATATGCACGATTTTATTCACATTTTTAGTAGATGTGGTTTTATAAGGATTTTTTGTACACTGGTTTGTAGCCTCGGCTGTTTAAACAAGTGATTAGCACCACTGAATGCCAGACTTAATTAATTCACTCGTTTAAACCACACTTTATATTTTTAAGCATTTATCCTTTTATAGTATAACTTCTTTTATACGACAACACACATATATATACATCCATTCAATTGTTACACTCACGATCAATCATCACCCAGTTAAATTACACATTTTTATTCACAGCCTCGTGACTCCACGAGATGTTGAAAGGTGATGCGAGGAATCTGACACTGCACTGTTGCCCTTCTGTTGTCTTGTACCAGTCTTGCCAGTCTCCGTTCTGCCCTAACATTGACTAGTCGCTGACGGCCACAATTCGCACGTTCAGACCCAGATTTTCGGCTGACAGTCCAGTCTTTAAACACTTTAACAATGAGCCCCTCTTAAACATTTAACGAATTCTGCTGTTTTGCTGATATTCACTCCATGGCTTGAGCGCCAACAATCATCCCACGTTCAATGACTGTTAAATCGCACTGTTTACCCATATCTTCCAGAAAAAAAATAACTTCTAATGTCGTGGTAAACAACCTGCTTCCCTATTATAATGGTCTGGCCCTCTAGCAACTTCAGCAAGAAATTATAACTAATTATAGCTATTTTGCCTGCAAACGTCAGGTGGTCATAATAAACTGGCCACTCAAACTGAAAACAAGCCTGCAAACCTGGCTCTACTACATGGTATTTTAATACCCATATTATCAATTCTAAATATAAGCCTGCATCATGTGCAGGTAAATTCTGATCGAGCTAACGGAAGTACAAAGCAAATTAAACATTTATTTACTGTGGTTTCATAATATGGGCACACACAGGCACAATTTTTAAGCTGCCAATGGCTTATTGCTCCAAGATGTACTACTATACAATTCTCATATTACCAGCACTACCATGGTGCTTTGTGAGTTATATCTCTTGGATATTGTCTTTTAGATCACATCATCATTTGTTGATCTTTGCTGCAAGAATATGTATCTAAGCTATATTTTACAAAACATTTGTTGTTGGGTTAAATTTTAAAAGTTATTAAACATAACTATTGAACTATGAAAGAGTCATAAAAATATCTAGACATGAAATTACATGTCTTTCTTTATAGCAAACCCAATATACATTACTAAGTGGGGATGTGGTTTAATTGCAGTAGATTTGTATTTCTTCGCTGTCCTCCCTTTCCTCCCTACAAAATCTGTTTTTTTTTTCTTTTCTTTTCTTGCTATCGGACTGAAGATTTACAGAGCAGCCATATATTAAACTCTCCCCAGAGCTTCTGTTTCAGCATGTTATGAAATTAGGCTATTAACAGCCTGGTTATAAATCGGTCTCAGACATGATTAACACTTTGTGAAATCTCACAACTTGATTATTTTGGAGTACATGTGGACTACAGTTTCTTTTCACGGCTAAAAAAAAAAAACATAATGCCAATGTATTATTCCCAATTTGTTTCTTGACTGTTCCTTTTACTCATTTTTTACCTGGACTGGATAGAGCAGATTTTTTATTTCATTACTTGCTACTGCAAAGGCAAGTTGGTATGCCAGGTAGTAGGGTCAATTTAGTTAAATCAGTTCTCACACTAGTCTACATCTTTCTTTGACTGGTAATATC